GTTCAAACGTGGCGGCCAGTCAGAAAGTAGAGCGGCCGGTCTTCGCTGCAGTTGGCTGTCTGGAACTCGTCACGCAAGCGGAACTGCCACTCGTCCTCCAGCTCCAGCCTGGCGATGGTCTGACGCAGAGAACTTCGGTCTTGGCAGATCACACACAGAGTGGCTCCTGTGGACATGAGTGGGGACAGTGGGTCAGACAGTCTCTCAGACAGGTCCTCTCTACATCAGTTAACATTTGACTTCCTACACCTGGGACAATCGGATTTTGATTGGATTTTGTCCAAAAGCTAAACTGCACATCACACATATATTAACACTGTATACTGTAGTACAATATGGTACTTGAGCAAAAACTGACATCTTAAATAACAACCACCTTACTCAGTACTGTTTAGTACTGTTAACTCGCAGGATCAGATGATCCGGATCATCTACACGCAGACTTATTAGAATACATTAGAATTAGTGCCAGGCAGCAGATTAGAGGCACAGGTACGAAGTGCATGTGACTTGAATTACTCACCTTTGAGGAAGCGAAATTTCCTGAGCAGTCCAGGAAACACGAAGGAGTCGCAGAGGTACAGCAGGAGGCCACTGAACACCAGGCCCTGATGGCTCAGGTTGGTGGAGTGAGGACGGGAGTTAAAGTAACACACGGAAATCTGTGAAAGAAATATGACAGGAAAAAAGTTAGGACAACCAGCAATTACACTGAGATAATAACTTTATGAACTGCACAGAACAGAATCACTGGGATTCATCTGATGTTCACATTCAGATGTGCCAGTGGTTTCTGCCTGGTTAAGCTAACTGGGGAGCTAACGTCATCTGCACAAATACTTTTCGATGCAAATGCAAAACAGTTCCCAAGAAAACATGCACAACCCAGCTGTAAGCTGGAAAGGAACACAGCAACTTCGTGGCTTAGGGCAAAGTCTCCAGTGTTTTCCCTGGAACTGTTCGTTCAGGTGAACACTTGGAGAAGTTGCAGAAAAAGCCTGGCTGTCAAGCCTTCCTTTAGTTCAGGGTTGAGAGGATTATACTAAGAGCCTCCTCTGGTCTTTCTAGTGCCGTCTCCGGGGAGCTCTCACCTCAGGGCTGATGTTAAGGTAACTATCGATGGACAGAACTGGGTTGTTTCTGTTTTGAACAGCCTTTGGAAACAGTTTGTGGCTGCAGCTCTGCAGGAACCTTTCCAGCAGGAACTGGGCCGGAGCATCTAGAAGAGTCTGCTCGCTGTCTGGGGCACAGACATACTGGGACGGGCTGATTAGAGCGGGGTTTTCTATTTCCTGCAGAAACAAGAGTCAGCATTTGATATTCGTCAGTTATATGAAGTACTGGACAGGTACTATCTGAAGAAACTCAGACTTCCCCAGAGGAAACCACAAACCTACCATTAGTTTTGGTTTGACCAAGAAATCATTGCTTTCCCCTGGAATGTGTTTCTTCATGAGACTGAAGTAGTTGAAACGGCAGATCAGCAGCCCGCTGCTGTTCACCCTCAGGTTAAAGTCCACTTCTTCACAGCTATACCTGTGACAGAACAGCAACAAACACCGCATGACAACACCGCCATTTTCAGTTCACACACGACCACCGCATCATTCAACTCACTCACCGGTTCAGGTCGTACTGAACATTCTGCGTCAGGTCAACGTTAAGCAGGACAAAGTCGTGGAGATGACAGCGACTGAAGGGCTGACTGCGGGACCGATGGACCAGGCTGCTGCTCCACTTGCGAGTACCGCACGCGGCATACTGACAGATCTTTGGTGTGGCCTCCATGTGCTGCAGCACCGTCTTCAGAGACACATTTAGTAGAGACGTACTTCCATCTGAGGTCTCGCTAAACGACGGAGCAAAAGCAGGAAGAAGAGAACATGACATCAGCAGGTTTTAAGGTCAACGTTCTTCGACGTTATTGTTCTCTAAATTTAGCTATTTAAGGCAGGAATCAAACTGGCAGATGAAATAGTCTTTGTTTAAGCCTAATGTAAATGCACTTGAGTGCAGTAGCACTTCTGTCCAGGTTTATGAAAATTAAATAAAACAAAAAATAGCTTGCATTATTGAGTTTCATTTGTGTGGCTTAACTTTTTATCTCAAACCAGGGGGTGGAGCTATTTTCAGTGTTTAAAAAAAAAACCAAAACAAAACAGGGACTTCTAGTCTGCAAACTAAAAACTAAAAACTAAAAAAAGATTTTAAGAACTGCAGTCTTTGGGCAAATGCACAATTAGCCCTTTCCGTCATTTCAGCAAACACACACACACACTACCTGGGGTCTGTTGTGTGGTGGAGGTTCCAGAGCACACACGAGTCGTCCATCATGACGATGAAAGGCCACACGTCCTGCCTCTTGACACCTTGCTCCTCCAGTCGGTTCCTCTCCAGCTCCAGGTTGTGATACGACAGCTCTTTGATAATGAATCGAGCAGCACCTTATAACAAACACAAACACGGGTTCACTTTTATTTATATGTTTAAACTAGAAAAAATATCACAATGAGAAAACACAAAATGTGGCCGGATCTGAAACGTAATTCTAACTCAGTGACTGTTAGTAAACAAAGATTTTTTTTCCTTAAACTTTTGTTTAAGTTTAAGAAGAATGATGTGATTTTTAAAATAAGTTCCTCACCAACTCCAGCATTGTTGAACATGGCTGGCAGCACCAGCAGGATGTGGTTAGGCCAGTACTTCCTGTAGAGGTTCATCTCACATTGCTTCACCACCAGAATGTGCACGTGAGACGCACCATCCGTGGCGTGAAAAATGTTCAGTAGGCGATGTTCTTGGNNAGGCCATGTTCTTGGTTGCCCGTCGTTGGAGTGAAGATCGGACTCTTTAAGAGATCAGGATCCTGGAGATGAAGGAGGAGAAAAGTACGGGTGAGAAGGACCAGAACTGTGGCACCGACTTGGGAACACATTTGCTCTTCCTGACTCGACTCACCTTAAAAGAGACCAGAGGCAGACGCATGCTCTCCAGGTGGCTGCCCTGCTGGCTGAAGACAAAGTGCTGCTCTTTGGATTTGGGAATGATAAACTGGAGCTGGACTTCTTCCCCCAGCATGGACGAACAGAAGGTGAAAGCATGAAAGGTACAATCCGTCAGCTATAAAACACACAAAAGGTGAACGCATGATTAACACTGACAGACGCTCGTGTGCTGGATCACAAAGCAAATGACGTCTGAAATGTAAAAGCACTGCAGTGTGTGTGTATGAAAAAGGCTGTGGCTCAGCAGCCAGTGTGAGCGTGAGACTGGGCCTCACCTGCATGGCAGGGCTGGCTTCACAGTAGTGGTGACACTGTTCACAGTGATGAAAGGCATTGTGGGCCGCAAACCGACTCAGGCGTATTGACTTGGTCACTCGTGTAGCTGGTGTTTGGCCCACTCCTTCCTGACTGAAGTCTGGTTAAAAAGAGAAAAGCCACACATTTCAGTTAAACATGAAAACAAATCCACAACAGTAAATAAAAGTTCTTCTCCAGAAGGGTTTCTTCTTCTACTGACCTTTTAAGACATTTGGCATTTTCTCCGAGAAAACAGGGCTGGCCTTCCTGAATTTTGGATCTCGAAGGTAAGGGTCAAAGGGCAGCTTACGGATGTCCTCAACGTCCGGCCACTGGGTGTTTCCTGGAGTTGTAACCTCTGACGTTTCTGACGTTAACAAATACATGAATCAATAAGACTCTGAACCGTGAAAAAACAAAACAACGTGCAGAATGTTTCCCTGAATGATCCTCACCCTCGGCCTCTTCCTCCTCGTCATACACATCCACCTCCAACAGACGGATGAGCATTCGAAACATGATACGAAGGAACTCCAGGTAGGCACCGGTTTTACCGACCTGGTAAAAGACCAAAACATCACCACTGTCACATGGAAATGAATATTCACAGATTTATAATTCCATGTCATACTTCTTATTTTTAGTAACGTGAATGATGTGACGTGAACTTTGTCGTCAAACAGTCGTGAATGTTCTGTAATAACGTGAAGATTCGTGGAAGTCAGATTTGTCACTGTGTGTTCTTTTACCTGTGGGGGTCCACTTAGTAACAAGCGCCTGGGATGAGGCACAGGCGGCGCTTCATAATCAGCGTGATGCTGTCTGGCCGTGGTCCACTGACGGTAGTGGGTGCTCAGCTCTGCCCCCTGTAGGTTGTGGGTGATGGGAGGCCTCAGAGGGCTGCTCCAGGACATATCAGCGTGAGGCAGCAGGGAGAATGAGCTCAGCTGACTCCCCGACTCTCCAGCCAACAGACTGTACGCCGCCCGTGACAGGATGACTGTCCGTGGTGATACTCTTCTGGGTTTGTGGCTTCTGCTGCACTGCGTGGACTGGCTGGGCCTCTGAGTGGAGGATGAGGACGGTGAGGGGGAGGAGGATGAGGAGCTGGAGTAGAACGACGGAGAAGCCTTGGAGGATTTGGAGGGTATGGGTGTGATTTGGATTCCCAGTGAATCACACTCTTGCTTGAAGTCCTGTGTGCCCGTGGCCATGTCAGAGACGGCCGGGCCTTCTGGCGGGCCGGTGGAGGTGGAGGGCTTTTGAAAAGACTCTGCCACATCTGAGGAACTCACTCCATTCTCAGCTAAAGAACCTGGATGATAATAAAAAAAAGTCAGGTTAAATCTTATAATTCTGAATGTCCAAATCCAACTTTATTGAGATGGTGAGTTCAGGAACTCACCAGAAGTTCTGGTGGCTGCGCTTCCATTGCTCTGAGGTCTTTCCAGTTCATCTCCATCATTTATAATTGTAGAAGTCTTCTCCGGGTCTGGTTCTCGTGCAGCCATGGTCTTTTTGGGCTCCTGTACTACATCCCTGGTAACGTATGTGCAGGCCAGGCCCACCTCCTGCTCCAGGGCTGTACGGGTCAGGTAGCTGGAGTCGATCAGACGAAGGTCACTGTACTTCAAAGACCTGAAAGAAAATGTAAAGTGTTTTATACTTTTTTTTTTTAAGCAACAACATTAAATCAATTAGAGGTGTTATAAAAAAATACACAATTTAGGAACTCTTCAAGTCTGTAATACACACTCAGGGTCATGGAATATTGTGTGTTTTTACCTGGGAAACGTCTCTCCCAGAGGATCTTTTCCTGTCATGATGACAATGCAAGGCAGACCTTCCAGATCTTCGTAGGTGTGAGGAACCCAATCTTCATTTTCACAGCCTCTCCACGCCTGCACCAAAATATCATTTTCAAATTTACTTTAATTTGCAGGGACAGGAATAGGCCTGGGGTATCAATCCTTGATAGAAATTACCTAAATAGTGGAAGTATTATTTGATAATATCTACAAATAACATCTTTTTATATAATATAAGTATTTCCATTGTTAACATTAGGTTTAAACAGTGGAGTTTTCAAGACAAATTAAACAAATCATTTGCAAAGAAAATTTGATTTTACAATAAAGGCCTGTGTGGAAATGTATATAAATGAATGGAAGATGTGGCTTTCAGCTACAAGCTACTGACTTACATGGCATTTAACTTTAGTTCATTAGAATTTTAAACACTGTAAGTAAAATTGAACAAAAATAAATTAAAAAACACTCCTCTATATACATTAGGAACATGGCCTATAATTTAAAAAGATTCTGTGTTGTCACATCGTCCTTACCTTGAGGCGACTGATGAAGTTCCGGTGCAGGTTCAGTTCAGAGGCAGGACTTCCCAGCAGCACAGCAAAGCACAACTGCAGCCCCAGCTTATCCCTCACATCCTCTAGTCTCTCGCGGGCCAGCATTGCCAGCTGCAGGGAGGGGACACGGACCAGCAGCATGTGGCCCCGGCCCTGGGAGCTCTCTCTGCTGGGAGCACTGATCAGGTCCTCCACCATAGCCAGGGTCTCCGGAGTTATGTGGTCCCTAAGGGACGGGGAGGAGGTCAAGGCCATCATGGCCTCAGTGTACTGCTGAATGAGCAGGTAGCTGCGGATCACCATGCTGTGAAGATGAGGGTGTCTGAAACCATACGTGACACGTGAGGATTATTTCAGGAGTTTATAAAAGTGAATAATGTGTTTTATTCTTTAATAATGGTGGACACTGGCAGAAGGACAGAATCTATAATAAACTCATTCTGTTCTCCTGATTGTTGGTGTAGCCCACACTGACCTTTCCAGAAGAGTGTGAACCATCTTCTCAAATGCATCATCATAGCGCAGTATGGGGCTGGCCATGCCCCACTGCAGGGATTTGCTGTAGTCCTTCAGGCCAAAGTACAGTAATTCACTGTTAGACTGCTCCCCCTGCTGGAAAACAAAATTCACATGACATTTTATTGGTACTTTCAGACTGACTTCAGTTTGTTACTGTTTAACCCTGAATTGTTGACATTGTTGAAGTATTTAAAATTAAAAAAAGAAAAGAAAATACTGACCAAAGTGTGGTTGGAGGGCCAGTGAACCTCATTTTGAATGCTGATGCGGGACTGGTGGGTCTGCAGTGTGTATGGGAAGCAGCTGACCTGCAGGACAAGCAGGTTCATGGCGTTCAGGACTTCCTGACAGTTCACCACTCGGTCAGCCAGACCCTGCAGCTCCCCGTGGCACACAGAGCCAGACAGGGCACTGGAGGGAGAGACAGGTCAAAGACGTAGTAAGTTTAACAGTAATCCTACTGCAGTGGTCCGTGAGGTACTACAAAAACACTGCAGCTTTGGGTATATAAGAGCAGGAAGAACTTCTTTTGTCCCCAATGAAGGAACTCTGTGGGAACACAGGAAGTGATCTAATTTATGTGTCGGGCAGAGGACAGCTGTTTGCAGGGAATAAACAGAAGATCTTGGCTTAACATTCAGCAGTAACAACCTCATTTACACCAAGTCCGAAACAAGGAAAGCACATCTCAAATGTTCTGAGCAACAATTTGCCAAATATGAAGGAATGTGTTCAATTCAGTCACTTGTAGATGTTTCTACTCATTTTCATTTATTATCAGAGTCTTTCCAGGCCAAGGCTGCGGTCACAGCCACAACAACCTGTATTTTCACACAGGCGTTATCAACGTAGACAAACACAGTTCCTGTGTTTCTGGGGTGAGGCGTACCTTGTGAGGTCGACGTGTGAGTTGTCGTGAATGAGGATAAACAGAGTGTAAGGATTCAGTTTGACTTTTCTCATGAAGGCCTCCATCCTGGCGTGAACATCATTGTCCAGACGCACCACGTACTTCTCTGATTTCTGGTGGGCTGAGGAAAGGTCTTCAATCCCCAGATCCACAAGCACGCCTGGAGAAAAAAATAAGGAATGACATTCAGTGAGACAAAAAGCTTTGCAAAAACACCTGTTTTATTAGTGACTAATCCAAACGATGGAATTATTCATATGGAAAAATACAACAAAACAACAAGTTTTAGACAAAATAGCTGCTATTTGACACAAACCTGATTGTCGGATGCGTTGTGCCGTCTGGTGCACCAAAACATGAGAGGGTGGGACCAATACCAGAAAGTCCACTTTACAAAAGCGACCCAAATCAAGGTTCTGGGTCCCAGAGTCTGCAATGGAACAGACTTGAGAGAGAAGGCTACGAGCCACTCTCAGCTGGGCTGGATAGGTCTGGAACACCTTGGTCAAGAGCTCTCCTACAGGAGTAACCATAAGAGAAACGTGCTGTTAGCATTACTTTATTTAATGTGTGAATATAGAGGTCTATTATTTAAACAGTAGAGCACAACATTGTATTACCTCTGTCTGAAGGTGGCGACATGCTGGCAGCCTCCTGAGAATGGATGTGCTCACTGACATCACCGTGGAACGGCTGAACCATCTGACCTTTTCGCCGTCGTTGGTATCGCACCAACTGCTTGTCCAGATTGTCTCCTATTGGACCCAAAAGAAAAAGAAAAAAGAAAGTGACAAATCAGTACCAGATGGGAACAGAAACTGCATCAAGATAGAATTAAGGATGTGTCGTCCATTCACCTAATGAGGTGGTTTTAAAGTGAGAGGCCAAGATGCTGACTTTCCCTGTGATGAGCTCGTAACTGATTTCCTTCAAAAACTCGTTGGTTGTCAGCATGCCTTCAGCTAAGGCCCGTGCCTGATACTTCCCTGTGTGGAAAGTTAATACATATTTAAAAAGAATTCTACATGCAATTTGTGACCATCTTTAATCAGTGACTAATCTGGGTATTAACACTTACCCAAAACAAGCACGCAGAACTCATTGGTGCTCATTTTAGAAGCGCAGATGATGACCACATATGTGGGCAGGCACTGCTGGTGGTGAGGACCCTCAATGAGAGACCGCAGAGACTCAGAAATGCCTTCACCCAAAGAGTTGTGGGTGACCACCACCTGGACGCTGCCCCCGGAGACACTGGCTTCCAGTCGAGCCAACCAGGGTAGCTGGGAGAAGGAGATGGCCGGCCCGCCGGGACAGCACAGCATGGCCTTCAAAACTATCTGGTCCAGCTCCTCCCTCAGTGGAATCTGATCTGAGGCTGCAGAAAAAAAAAAGTTTAAAAACATAATAAATAAAAAGAATGATCCAAAATGTTAAAATATTATAATTGCATCAGAATCTTAACCACATCCAAGAATATCTAATAAAAATAAAAACAATTAGAGATATTTGTGTGATAATGCAGTTTCATTTTTACCTAAACGTGCAAAATATTGTAGAGTGAGCAGAATCATTGTCTCTACACTGAGCAGTTGGCTTCTGTTTAGGCCTAAAATGGTCAGGGTTTTCTCTGAGAGCTGACTGGTCTTGTAGCAGTTGACCAGCAGAGGGCTCACGACGATATCACCAACATTTCCATAGAAATAAGGTAAAGTGCCATGGCCTGGAGAGAGAAGTCTTCATTAGACAAGCACAAATGAACACCGAGGATTAAACTTTGTGTACAGTATGTAAAGAAATAGAAGAAATAGCCTGTAGTTTTACTAGAGCTTAGATATTAGATATCGGTAAAAATCAAATTTACAATTTATTATTGAACTTTGCCGACAGTTCGACGAACAACCAAGAAAATATAAAATTTGTACCAATGAGAATAACAGGGCGAACACCGGCCGTGTTAAGCAGGTTGTCAGGAACGATGACCGTCTCTCCTGCTGGGACCGGCTGAGGCTGAATGACTCCAGGTACCTGTGCCTGAGGAGAGGTCACCACTAATACAGAACCTGGGTGTGACGGAGGAGAAAGACAAATCAATGTCGAGGGTTAATCACAATCATATGGATGCTGTTGTCATTGTCATGTCAATTTTTTTTTTGTTGTTTTTGTTTTGCAGAATGCTTTAAAGAGTTTAGCAGCCGACCTGGGGTACAAACAATGGGCCTGATGGCTGGAACTGGTACTGCTGTTGGTGGGACAGGAATAGCGGAGTTGGGGTGCCAGCTCCTGTGACGCTTCTTTGGAGGGCCTGAATTCATGACGGATGATACTGAAAAACACAAACAGGTGAAGGAGATCAAACTAATGATAGATCAAGATGGGTCAGTTAAGGTTTAAAAGTTATTTGCTTCAATACAAATATTGGAATTTTCTCAAAAACACAAAGCTGTACTCACAGGTACTGTCTCCTAAATCAGAAGAACGATAGCCTCGACTTTGAGGCCCTATGGAGACCTGTGAGGGACTTAGTAACGGAGGACGTCCATCAACACCCAGACCATTTGTTGGCCCGTTCACCCTCAGAGCTGTGGGTACTGCAAACAAACATACGTGCAATTTCACGATTAAACTTTCTATATTTATTCCTAATTATTTGCAGATGGCACAGGCTGCATGTAGGCATATTTTTCAAATGCTCTAATCCTTTTAATATCACAGCCACAGTGGTGATGGGGAGCAGCTGTAATGGTTAGCAATAGCTGCAGGCTAATAACAAAAATAAATTGAATACAAAAATATGCCCAGGGATGTCATTACTTTTGGTCTTTACTTAAAAAAAACTAATTTTGGAAAAAACTTTTTTTTTGACCTGATGATGGCGCTGGAGGAAAACAAAGTAATCCCTTTAGTATTTGTGCCCACAGTTCAGAGAGGACCACTGGGGCTGTCCACAAAGAGCCATCTCACTAACACATCTCACTTAAATAAACACATCAGGAATAAAGGCATGAAATATAGTCAAAACATAAATACCCAGCGTGTCAGTGCTAACTGTGACTCATTGATTTTCTCTACGTGATCGTCTTTTTGCCAATGACCCCAATGGACTTTTTCCAATCTCATATTCACTGTGTATGCAATACACTAGAGCATTGATTGGTATGTGTAATCTTTACTTGTCAATATCACAACCTTGTAAAGGAGCTAATGGATAGCAAGACCTTAAAAAGTCATTACAGCATTCCTTCCTCCAGTATTGATTAGTAAGTAGAAGAGAGCGCAGGTGCACGTGCTTGTGTGTGCTCCTCTATGCGCCTGTGTGTGTGTGTGTGTGTGTGCTTGTGCATCTGAACAGGCCCTCACAGAGGATAATCTTGGCTCCATGGTCAGCCACAGATCCATCTGTTTTATGCTGAACCATGTAATACAACAACCTGTAGCTAAGCAACATCTTTCAGTGTAAGAGCAGGGCCACTGTTGTTTCTCAAAGGCAAATGCTTATCAGTGTCTATAGGTTGACAAACAACTATGAATATGTGACCTATATCTGTGCTTTTAAACCAGTTACCACTGTACTAGAAAAAAAAATCTTCACCTATGGGCAGAGTTTTGTTCCCAGGTGTAGAGGTCAAAGGTTTGAGGAAACTGCAGTCTCTGCTCAGGTCCTGGCTCCCAAAGAAAACAGAAGATGGCTGTGTTGTTCTGGTCGGGGGAGAATCTAAAAATGGAAAACAGCGATGTAGTGAAAACAAACATTTAACTTTTGTCCTTCTTTGAACTAGGCAAGTCATATATTTCATTCTAATTTTCCAGAACTGAAGCCCCAACTATGATTGATAACTCGCCTGCCCTTCGCCTTTGCACTACTGCAGCGCCGACCGTACTGCTTGCACAAAACAAACAGAGAGAGAAAAAGGAAACAAACAACCTTTCCTTCTTATTAATCATGTCAGCCACATGTCTCAGCGGCTGAGCGGTGCTTGTTGCTGTGTGTAATCTCTGGGCTTCCTAAGCCAATGATCACTGATACCAGGATGGGAGTAACCAAAAAACAACAAGCCTCACGCAGCAGCGATGTGACATGGATGTGTGAGATCCATGCTAACAGTCAGCTTCCAGGTTTAGAACAAATCAATGGCATAAGCTCAGGACCTTTTTGCTTTGACTAAAAGGAGGAACAGGGCATTTTGTCGAAAACAAATCACTGGTTTAAAGAGAGAGACGGAATCTTCTGCCAAAAGTCACTTAGGACCTAACCTATAATTTAGGCTTCACTACTAGAAGTACTGCAGTATAACAGAAAACTTTGCAGAGTGAAATTATTACTGCTTTTCACATAACCCTGCTAAGAACAACAGACACTGATAATATAATAATAATCCTCATTATCATCATTATCATCATTATCATCACTGTTGTTGTTATTATGATTATTATAAGATAGGTACATATATAAAATGACAGGAATATATGCTAATGGTAGGAATATATATACAGTATATATATATATATATATATATATATATATGGTAAGAATATCAACAAATACCAAAATATATATAGTAATGGTAAGAATATTTACTGATGCTAAGAATATATACTAATGATATTTTTTATTAATTTTGTTTGCAATTACTGTAACCTTCCACTAGTCTTACCTGAGAGTGAAAAAGGAGAGGAGCTGTGTCCACTGACGCCTCCATTCTCTTTACTGCTGAGGGAGGAGGAGGAGGAGCTGGGTTTCGAGGTGGACGCGCTGCTGGAGAACTGTCGCGATTTACATTCTGAACATGCAAAATAATGGAGAGAGGGGGAACAAAAACTGTGAAGTGCAATGTTTAAAGTAATATATTTCAGCATGGGTTGGTGAATTAAAAAAAAAAATTACCTTTCCAGCAAATGAGGGGTCCTTTGCACAGAGCACCCTGAGAATTCTTCACCAGGTAGTATTTTAAGTGCTTCTGCTTCTTGGGCTGAGTCGATAACTTCAGGTTGATGTGATTTGAAAACTCAGTGAAGTATCTGAAACCCTTTTCACCGCAGCCCATACAGTTTCCCGAAAAACCTAGTGGGAATCAAATGAAACCAAATTTATCTTACTGTAATGGTGCACGGATCTCCTCATTTTATTCCCTCATCCTGGCTGACATGCACTGACCTAAAAGTGCATTTTTCCCATTGTCATCTGGCAAAAATCGGCGGTCCACAGCACAAACCAAGATATGCTCAGGGACACTGGGGGACTTGGCACCCACCAACTCAAAACCGGCTGGTACTTCAACAGACTCTGTTGCTATGGAGTCCAGACGCAGGTCCTTACCAGCCTGACAGAACCCTTAGAGTAGAGCAGAGGAATAAATATGATGTTATGATGAAAAAAGCACTTCTGAGATAATGACTAATACAGCCACAAAATAACAAGCTGAAAAGATGCATTTTCTCTTATGAAAGAGTTCGTTTTTTTAATTTGCTGAGGATTATTACCATCCAGGGTGCAGCAGCCATCTGGTGCAGGAGCCTGCAAATAGGGGAGTGGAGGGCTGTTGCTATCTGAGTCATCCTCATCCTCCAGCTCCTCTAGATCATTGGAAGAATGACTGTTTAGGTGCTCGTGGCTTGGTGCCCCCCCGCCATGGATATCAGCATTGGACTTCATGTCTGATGAAGATTTTTAATCAAATTACTTTCATAGCAATAGATGAAACGTTTACATATTTGTTCTTCAATCTCCGACTGTTTTATTTTGATCGTGGGGTCATCAGTCAAGTGACGATGTCAACATGAAGACATAAACACCTTTTACATCCATTTTAAACAGCAATAAATCAATGACTCGTACGTTCAAGGGGTCAGGCCTTGTTTAAATGAGTCACTGCAGTAAAATGATGTAGAAATAATTTTATGGAGCAAATAAACCTGAAAGTTTTTTTTTAATAATTCAATGTAAATGTCCTCATAAATGGACATATCTGTGGCTGATCCATTTTATAACTTTTTTTAATCACATAATTTCATGTTTTTTTGGTAAAATAATTCCATCTGATTCCTGTGTTCCACTTACAGGAACAAATCATCTTCCTGTCATCCTCCTTTCCTCAGAGACAAAGTCCTTTCAGACTGTTTGGTTTATTAAACTTGTTAGCTGCCATCCTACCTTCTATGTTTCTAGGATACGGCTCAGGCTCCAGGTAGAGCTGTGTGAAGATGGGCTGTGGATCTCCGCTGCTCGAACGCAGCGAAGCCTCAATTGAGTTATGGAGAACCTCTTCGAATCGAGCAGACTTCAGCTGCCCGGCATATGAATTCCCCATTATCTGCAGGGGAAAAGAAAGAAGATGCAGAGTCACGACAATGGTTATGTCTGGTCCGAGGTTTGCTGCCGTTGTAGGGAAGTCTGGCTCCACAGACTGAGTCATTCTCATTACAGGCAGGGCTTTCATAATGACATTTGTTTTGCAGATGTAGACATAAGAACATATTTGCTATATCTTATAAAAGAAAAAGCTGTAATTATTTTAATGTGGACACAGAAAAAAGAAATATCAAACTACGTGCACTACAGAGTAAAACATATATAAATCAGCTTCCAGAGTGGGTTCTAATACACAGTTACACTTTAATGCAGCTCAGTCCGATGTCCAACAGTGTGTACTGAAATAGCAGTTTAATCTTTTCTTTCTCAAGTGCGTCAAGCTGAAAGGGTTCGTCAGTAAATCAATGTAAGAATCAATCTTTTCTGCTGAGATGTAAAAGCGTGACTTCTCAGATGAGAAGATTTGCTCTCAGTGTTTTTTTCTCTTTTTGTTTATTACAGTGAACGTGAGCTAGAGGTTTTGACCTTTACGTTGATGGATGGACGACATATTTTATCTTTTCATAAACACAACAACTGATAAAAGAGAACAGATGGAAATGATTAAGTTTGTTTCTTATCTTTTACCATAGTTTATTAAGATTTTCTAAACATCTGAAATACCCACTCCCCCACTCCCTGCCCCCCTTCCATTTCTCCACCTTATAACCAAATATATATCCAAATATAACAGCCAAGGCCAATGCCTTTTCCTCTCTTTCTGTGGCTCTGCATTTCTGACGGCTCTTCCCGCTGCCCTGTGCCCCCTTCAACCTAGCGTCCACTGTGGGACATCTGCTGGGGTCGACCGCGTGGGCCTGAGTTTGACTGGCCTTTTGGTGGCAGCTGTTAGCTGGACAGAAGCCCAGGCTTGTACCCACAAAGGGGAAAAGTGAGATGGACAAGAGAGTGGGAGGTGAAGGAGCAGCTCTGCTCAAAGACAATGCTGCTCTTATTAGCACTTCCTACTCACGCTCCTGTTTCTTTCGGCTCAGCCGGGACATGTCAGTGGATCTGTTTTCAATACCGAGCTCCTAATCAACAGAGTTCAAACTGTGTGGGAGGAGAGGAGGAAAATAAACACAGGTTCTGGCTGCTTTCCTGATGCCTGGGTTTTAACCTGAAATGCCTTTCAGAGTTTGTCCTTGTGATACATTTGACAGGTGTAGGTCAGTGTTGTGGTTCATAAACATCATAAACAGCCAAGTGGAGGCTGCACAGGCTGCAGACGTCAGTGGTTTCGGGAAAGCTGAAAAAAAAAAAAATCCTCCCTCTGTGCCTGCACCCTGACATGACCTTACAGGGACAGGACTGCTCGTATCTTTGACCACGGTCACCGACTCAAACCTGAGATGGAAACAAGGTAATGATTTAACTTGCCTCAGTCAGACCCTGTACCACTGTTGTGGTTATGCATGAGTGAAGACTAAAGCATTTTTAAAATATTTTTGATTCATCATTTTTAACAATTCTGCTGCAGATAATCTCAAACCCAAAGCTGAACTATTAAGAACAAACTCATGTTTGTGTTCTCACCTACTCAAACCCAAAGCTGAACTATTAAGAACATTTAATATTAATATTAAACTCATGTTTGTGTTCTCACCTACCTATGCTATGTGCTTATTTTAAAAATGTATTTTATTATATTATTGCAGAGCTGCGTTTGTTTTAAAATTTGCTTATTTTAAAAATGTATTTTATTATTTATTATATTATTGCAGAGCTGCTTTTGTTTTAAAATCGTAGTTCATTAAATGTTTGCTGCTGCAGTGACTTTCAATTTAAATATTTTTATTTTTCCCCCTTTGTGCCTCAAACCTAATGTGATTAGTTAATTATTATCTACGCCGTGGCCTGAACATTAGAAGAGACAAGGCTAGAATCAAGTTAGAGTTGATTTTCTTGTCTCTGGTGTCACTCTGTCCAAGCCTGGGCAGGTTCCAGACCCTGCGTTTACCTAACCACCTTCCTGGGGAGGAATCTGACCAACCCAGACAAAAGACCAGATTAACAGTGCCTGGCTGTGGGAGAGATAAGCAGCTTAACAGAACGAAGCTACAGTATTTTGTTGCTTAACTGATGGGAGGAAGGTAGCTGGGCTGCGTTGAAAGACAATGAGAGAAGTGGCCAAGGGGGTTAAAACAGAAATGAGAGCCCGAGGGCAGTTTAAGCTGCCTCCGCCTGTTCAATTGAGAAGTCACATCAGGCTCCGGAGGCCTCTTTGGCCGGCTGACCCTCAAGCCTCAGAGGACAGGTTTGTCATTAACCTCACACAGACCGGAGGTGAACACGAAGAATTGACCTTTTATCGCATGCGCGGTTTAAAACAAAGCGCGACTGTGTGGCAGAGGTCGGCTAACGGATGTTTCTGGGTGTTACTCAGGTGTTGCTAAGGTCAGCTGTAGTGGCAGACAGGAGGGTTAGTCCAGGTGACTCAGCAGCCAGTGTTTGCATGATGGATGGTCAAACATGAGTCCCCCCTCCCAGAGAAAATGTAGTCAAATGTTCAGAGACGAATGGAGACACAGGAAGTGCCGGTGAACTGACGCTGACTTTAAAACTGCCGCCCTGCCTGTCAGCTGGTCACTCAAGTCCATTCCTCTCCTCCTGGGTGGCATTAGCAGATTGTATGAATGTGACCCCAGGTCAGAAAAGACCACACTAATCTCCCCTCAGTGGATTTGAGCTGACCGTGACAGAGAAAATATGAGAACCTAGAACCTCCCCTGAGGAAGAGCTGGAACTCTGACACGAGCAGAGAATTAGAAAGAAAAAAAAAGAGAGTGAGTGAAACTTACGTTGTCAGATTGTTCCCAGGCGTGAAGGGACTTGTTCACCTCTGCTACATGCTGGGGTCAGTACCACTTGTCAAAAATGGACTGCAAAGAAATTTCACTCAGTGCTTGGAGACCTGGAGGGGAGCACGGAGATCTGTGATTAGCTCACACAGACTATCAGCAGCAGAGAGAGAGTTCAATACAACTGGATCATCTCACACCTGGTCAACATGTGATAAAGTGGCCTGATGTTACAGATCTAATATGAAAGAAATACTGTCAGAACCGTTGGATTGAGGATCGAATCAAACAAGAGTCCTATCCTAATATGAAAGAAATACTGTCAGAACCCTTGGATTGAGGATCGAATCAAACTGTGACATTCTAGTCCCCTGGATCTCAACTGATACACAGGCTAAAAACAAACTTACTAACTAATTAAATGTCCTTTTTCCAGCGTGTTTCTCATGCAGTTTTGTTCAAATGAATTCCGGCTAATTTCATGGAAATACATTGTCAGATTTCATTTCAACACATCTGTAGAAATCATTTCTTTGGGTAACTTTTTAAATTCAAAAAGCTGTTTCATACATTTTTCGTGGCTGAAACCTGACTGTTATGGAGCTAAAAGCTGCTATGTGATACCAAAGCCCCGGGGCTATTTTCATGGAGCACAATTGGGTGCTTTAGTTTGTAGCAGCACCGACTACACACACCGTCGCCCTCTGAATAGATCTGCCAGCTACTTTGACCCTTTGACAAAGTATTGTTTTGTCACTCAGACTCTGATATAACAGAAGCAAAGTTCTCTGCAGGGCACCGACACATCTACACAGTCATCACTTATTCTGTAAGAGGGCGGCAGGTCTGGGGTCCAAGTCCTTTACATGCATGTGTGTACACAGGCAGCTTCAACTTGCATTTACTGAGTGGAACTCTCTTTGTGAATGATTAGCAGATGTGTCACCACTGATCAAACTGAGCTGAAAGAATCTGAAAACATCAATGTGTCAATGGTGGCGTGTCCTCCTTCACCTCCTGAGCTGCTGCAAAAAATTACCTACTGCAAATTTAGGTTAGGAGCCCCCACCGAAAAGAATAAACACATGTAACTCGCAGATTAAATTTGGAGTAATATTGTATCACAGTGAGGTATTCAACAGATGATATGCATCTCCACAGAAGCCTTCACATTCTAATTAGCCAGAGTACACACACAGTCCTGAAATATTTTGATGCTTATCTTGTCGTGAGAGGTTGACAACACCAAGGGAGAGACGCAGATCCCTCGTAAGATGAGGACCGAGGTGCCGTAAATCTTGACACCAACACATGCTCTGCCTGAGGGGCTTGGCAAGGGTCGGCCTCTCCAGTAAGGACATTTACTGAGGGACCGTAGAAGACGCTGACGTGCTGATTTTGTCTCGGCAAGTTTCAAGGGGATGTGTAAAAATGTAGACACATTAATCACATGTACTCCCTCTGAATGAAAGAAACAACATACGCACAAAGAGCTACTGTACTGCAGTAGTATTTGTACTGACATCAGTAACAGGGGTGTCTTTTCACAGATGGTGGAGAAAAATGCCTCTTCACGGCTGAAAATAAATCAAGATTAACTGACAAATTCTGCATTTTGTCTTTTATTTTAAATGTTATTTTTAAATGAGGTTTAGTCACTATCTTAAAACTCTGATCACTAATTTGTCCCACTCTCCGTAGCGTAATAATTTTAAACTCGAGCCAGTTTTTTATTCTCATTGTGCCTTTTGTTTTACCGTAAACTACAAAGTCGACAACGTCAACAACAGAAGAATAAAAACACAGCATAACGTTAAACACGATCAACAACTCAGCCTGGTTTTATCACTGTCTGCATCAGCAGATGCTTCATTTATGGCCAAACAGTTGTAAAGTCATGGCTGTGGCTACAGTTGGGGCAGACCATGCAGATAAACTTGACATTTAATCAAAGTCAGAAGAATAAGAGCCACTTAAAACCAGTAAATGCACAATTAGGTGTATATCATTCCCTCAGGTGATGTACAGTATTTACAGTACTACTTTATTTCAGTTGCATGTTTTTAAAACTGGCTTTTTACCTCCATGGTTTTAACCTCATTGTTCTGCTCAAACATGTAAAAGTCACAGCAGTTGGAATAGGTGAAAAGAGGTCAGAAAATTCTTTAACACTGTGGTGAAAAGACAGATCATCAGACACGGGAGAAAGGGGGTTGGGAGTGAGGAGTGAGCGGAGAGAGAAAAAGGACAAACATCTTTCCATGTTGTGTAAATTAGGTGCTAAAAGCCCATCGTATTAGTGCTGTGTGACACACAGCTTGGAGCTTCACACCAGAAAAACAAAAACAACAAACAGAAAAATAAACTTCTGTACCTTCCATGACTCCTCAACAAGTACTGATGAATGTGGTAAGAATCCAAATCAAATGCAGTAATTCCAAAATGTGACAGCGTTTTTTTTGTTTTTGTTTTTCAGATACAGTCCATGTTTGGTAATAAATCCTTTTGGGGAGGAATTAGTGGAAACGATCCCTGCAGCATATGGAGATTCACTCTTCTCTGGTTGCTCTCAAGTCACCTTTGTCATGATCCTCTATAGAAAGGAATGAGAGAATCCCACTCTTCCACACTGTTCAGCAAAAACCCTCCCTCTTGCTCTCTCTCTCTCTCTCTCCCTCTCTCACATGCAAACAAACACACACACACACATACAAACAGAGCCCTCCCCCCAAGTCCCCTATGCCCTCCTCTGTCCTGTGCCATTTGCCAAGGAGGGAGGGAATCCACCGGGGGATCATTCATCTTGGCCCTGCTGACCCCCTGTGGTGACAGATGCTCTTGGAGGCCTGTGGAGTGGAGGGGGCGGCGTGGTGGGGAGGGGTCAAACAAAGAAAGCGGACCTGCAGCATCTTGCCGCTGCCACACGGCAGCAGAGCCTCGCCACGCGTGACCCCCAGCAAGCCGCAACATCTGCCGCCAACACCTCTGTTGCATCATGTAAAGGAATTCCAGAAAAGTGGAGCGATCCGTTACGGGAGCCCCGAGTTTCACTCTCACTCTGAGACTTCACAGTCCAGTTTCTCACCGCATGCCTCACCCGACTTTTTTATTGGGGGCCAATTTAGTGACAGGGGAATTCGTCTCAGGTCAGCTTGAGCATTTTGTCTTCATAGCCGTGCCCGGGATTGACCCCACACTGAGGTTTTACTCCCACTATAAATACCGCAGGCTCATCTGGTCAAAATAAATAAACGGAAATGCAACGCAAACCAGCAGCCACTGACAGATGCTGGTGCATTATGGGTCATTATAACTCCTTAAAACATTATCGTGAAAGGGAACTTATTACAATGGACATAATCTAATGACACTGTGTAAAAGGTGTCACTGCCTATATTTATAATAGCTGTAAATTATCACCGTTTCTCACCCTGTCTGTTTGGCTTTAATAAAATATTTTCAAAACTGCAGCAACAACTGACGGTTATTTTCATGACTAATGAATCACAAGCAGTGTGTTCAGACAACTGATTAGTCATTGTGGCCAGTAAAAACAGGAAGAGTTGTTTGTCATGATTTTGCCCACAAACCTGATGCGCGCGCCATAAATGATTTATTAGATAACGATAACATCACGCATCGTTACATTGTGGTGACTAGATTTTTATCTATCACTGTTTTCTTTTCATTTTTAATTTGCAAAACAGGAAAACACAGCCAAATGTGTCACAGCCAGAGGCCGAGATCAGCAGTTTGATGCTATGCTAATTAGTCTCACCCCTCATGCTTAGAATCCTTATGATTTCATTTGTACTTTGAGCTGTATTTATTTTTCTCCCAGCTAATTACTGTCAGTTAAGGTCGGGGGGGGTCTGTTGGGTAAATATTAGTCCTGAGTAAAGTGACATCCACCTAATGGAACAGTGCACTTTCAAATAACACCAGAGCAGTTTTTATAAACAGGGCCTTCCTGTGTGCCGGGGTGATGATTCCACTAGAAATCATATCTGGTATCAGCGGTCTCTGTCATAAACAGAGTCATTATCCACTTCTCCGTTTACTGGCCCAGGTGTCCTGCTCCACTGAGCTGTGTGACTGATGTTCCAGTTCATTACCACAGACACAGTCAACAGTTGTTTTAATCAAGTTGTGTGCAGCTTTTCTCACCTCCTCTCCAATGGTTATATTACAGCGCAGTCAGTGTGAGGGTAGCTGTAAACAACCGCCTGGGCCAATCAGAGCCCTCATTAGTCCTGACGGGGCCTTCATGCACTCATCTCTCTCAATCAGCCACATTTGTCTAAACATTGGGCTTGAGTTTGACTGTGAAATTTGTCCAGCTATTGCTATGGTCCGAGCAGCTGAGGACTTTGCTTTAGTTGTTGGTTAGAGACTGGCAGCTATGCTGCGAGGATGAGGTTCAACAGGTGAAACAAAAGTGAAATCCTGACAATGATCCATCAGATAGCAGCGGAGCCACAAGTTCAACTTGGGGAAAAGAGCCGTCAGTTTGATTTATGCCCAGCCCCTGACTTTGACATGGCCTGTTCACAATAAACCATTGAAAATGGAGATAATGACTAAATCCTGCATTTTTGTTTCGCCTCAAAGGACACTGTTCAAAAAAAAATATAAAGGGTTGTGGATTGAAAGGTTGCCCTCCCCCAGAACCCATCCTTCACCTCTGCATTCAGCTCCCGCTAAACTCCCTGAAAAAAAGGGGAAGCACCCCTGCACCCGCCACCTGAGGACAGATGGGTCATGTGACCAGCCAGAGTGAAGCGGGCGTCATGACCGAGTGCTGACTCAGCACCTGCTTAACACATGACTGTGAGGGAGGTTAGTCTGCTAACTGCTGCAGTGTAGAATAAACTTAATGAAGTCAGCCGTCGATTTATTATTAAAAAAAAAAACACACCAAAATACAAAAGCAATCCCACAAATGTAGTCATTTAACCACTTAAATCAATTAAAATGTAGGTGTACAAGTAATTAATTAAACATGTTTACAAGTTAAAATGTCATTGATGTCAAAAGCTCAAGTTTAGAACCGTGAAGAAAATTCCAAAATGTGACGGCAGTTTTCATCCTCTTGATGAATGTGGAGGAGGATATTTTTTAAATAAATTCTTAAGTTGACTCTCAATAGAAAAGGTGAAAATAAGTTTTAAAAAAAGCGGTCTAATCAGGTTTTGTTTTACAACAACAACAAAAAATGAATTACTGAAGAAGAAAAGGACTATGATTGTTGATTGTCCTGCGCCAAGCTCTACATTAAACACTGCAGTAAATATTTGAAGTTAATTCAACCCCAGGCTCCGTGCTGCAAGTTCACTTCTAGAAGAATGAAATACATTAAAATCTCTCTCTTGCTCTTTCACTTGGGACAAATACTGGTAAATTGCAGTTGAGGTTTAACAAATATAGTGGTTGAAAACCAAGAGGTGGGGAAGAACAACAACCAAATGTGCTAGTTAGCACGTTGGCCTCTTATAATAAGAAAACAATCCTGCAGCTTGACTGTCAAAATAAGGAAGAAGGAAAAAAAAACAACACAGAAACAAATTTGGGGACCTTGTGAAAATTCCCGCAACAGATTTCCCCTTTTTGCTCATTTCAGTTAATGCCAAGGGTGTGAGGACTCGCACTGTTGTTTACTGTCCGGGTGGCAGTCCACGGCTCTAATTTCCTTATAAAAGCCCCACTGCCTCCTTCCAAAACCCCCGCCCTCCCACAAGTCAGGACTACCCGCTGGGCCCTGAAGTGCAAATCTGAGCTAGTGAGGATAGCAGATGAGCTAAGGTCATTCATGGCTTTCCAGTAGGCCACGCAAACAAAGGCAAACATTCCAGCTGAATGCCATTGCTGAAAATGGAAAGAAAGAGAGGGAGAAAGAGACAAGAGCAGGGCTCAGAGGAGATAATAGCCTAAGGGTGAATGAGTGAGTGTGCATGTACGTGCATGTGTGTGTGTGTGTTTGTGAGTTTCTGTTTGTGTGTGTGTGTGTTCCAAGGGATTATCTGTGGAACTATAAAGTGGGGTGAACCAGGGTTTAAGGCCTGATGTGACCAGAGGGAACGGGGGTAGGGTCCAGGCCCTGAGGAGGAGTGGACAAAAGGAGCATTTGGGCAGATGAAGAAGCCATCATCATTAACCTACTGGAAGTTTACTGTCTAGTTATAAAAGTCATTTCAAAATTAAGGGCTATGTGGTGAGTGTGAAAGGAGAGCAGCGCTGGAAAGGCCTGTGAGGGGCTGGAGGCCGGACCGCCGCTGATTGAGGAACGGTGGGCCTAATCCATTAGGGGACCAGGAGCCTTTGTGTTAACTCCTGCATGATCGCAACGGTGACCTTGCCACACACTTTGGCCCGGCCGATGAGTTTAAGGGCAATGCATTTAACCTTAAACTAAAATCTGAGCCATGGACAAAGAAGGGCGTCATGCACTGAACGGTCAAACTCGACAGAGAACTGACGCAGCACAAATGAAAATCAAACCTTGTTAACTGTCGCCTTAGGAATGCCCTGCATGACAGAGCAATGACCCAAACAACCTTGAATATGAAGCAAAAAACAACCACTGATCTAAGGGGGAATGTCTTAATCAACCATCATCTATCTACCAACTATTACCTATCATTAACTAAACCAGTCGTCCATTAACCAAGATGGCTAATTTCATTTAAAGATAATGTTATTTTTAATTGTGACCCCTTTATTTTACTAACAACAGGTGATAACATTTAAAATTCAGGTGAATTTATTTAAAATATTTATACATATATATATTAAAAGTCAAACATTTTGGCCAATGATAGTATTTATAAATGTTTTTAATATTTAGAGTACAACTACAAAAAAAATATGTTTTTTAATCTCCTCATACCGTGGCTACAGTTATTACATAACATTAATTCCGAGTTTTCATCTATCTGTTATTCAAACATCTGTGCTGGTTTTCTATCAGTAAATCTCATTCCAGAATTAAATGACAGGCAGTTCTTTTTAAGACACTTTTCCCCTACAAAAAAAAAAAAAACCCTTTGGTTTTGATTTACAGCTGTGACAAAACTTCAACAGCATCATTGTTTATCATTTGATGGGCGTCCAGAGAGATCTGCTCCCATGGCTGTTATTCCCTGACAGAATAAGTGAATGAACGTGAAGGGCGAGTCACACTTTACAATGCTGTTCATGGCTGTGTAATAAAATGGAAGCCCTGTCAGTCAACCCCATCTGCATTTTACAACGTGGCCGGGTTGAACACCAGTTCACCGCGGCCAGAACAACAGGAGGAACCCAGGACCCTAATGCATTTATGGACTTTTTCAGAGAAGCAATATTGAATAAAACAACAATGAGTTCTATTTCATGCTGTAAAGCTGTCAGCGGCAGTGGTCAAATACTGGTCAATGGTAAAGGGCATGGGAAGGTAAAGGGAAGGTTAAGGTATGGGGTTCTCCTGGAGTTTAGTCTGAGGTGGTTCTCCTGCAAATGCACCAAAACCACTGCCCTCAATCCTCAAATAAATGAACAAATACACACATATATAGCTATAATTTATTTTCGTGGGGATACTGATTGCATTAAGAGACAATCCTCCACCATCACTGCTGCTTCTAACATCTGGTCCACACCTAATGGCTCAACCCAGAGTAGATCTTTGATGACGGTTGACCAGGTCTTGTCCGGGCCGTAAACAGTTGTTTAGACAGCCCTATTTGTTATGGGGTGTAAAAGGAGATCCATGGATCATGTTGAGAGGTCAGGCACTATCAAAACATTGGCTCTTATCAGATGACACATCTAGCTCTGGGGTCAGGTTCTGTCTTCAGGAACTGCGCTTCAGTGTGCCTACACCTCGTAAAACAGTCAAACAGAGGTGAGGTGATGTGATGATCACTGAGTTAAACAGTGAAGTAAAATGTCTTGTCATCTCCCGGTATCATTTGAAAATATTTAAATATGCTAACAGAACTGAGGTCAAAATTCAGACTCAAAAAACAACCAAAAAAAAGCACTTACGTTTAAAAATATTTTAATTTTTTTAAATTAGCTAATTGTGTTAAAAGCTATACTGGCAAGGAGAAAACAACAGTAAATATCATTTTCTTCAAAAATTCCTATCTTTCTTTATAAATTCCTCCTTTTGGTCCAAAATTTCAAAATGCACTTTTTTTCTTGAATATGTTTAGATACAAGAAATTTTAAAATAATCACAAAAAGGTCTGGACTAATAAAAAATGTCTTTGTTACAAGTAAATCAATGTTTTATGGAAGAGATTAAATTAAATCATTAATTAAATATTAAAAATGGTGTATTTTGAGTAATTGAGTAATTAACCAATTAAGTTCCCGTAATAAATTAATATGAGTGATTAATATAGCAATTATTATTACAACAAACTATCAAACTACAACATTTGATTGACAAAGTAAGACAATAATTAGCACAACTCATTAAAAAAATATTTTTTTTATCATTAAAAATAAAACAGTAAAGATAAAGACATCTACTAAGTATTTTGGTTGTTTAAATGCCCATTGTTTTTAGTAAAAGAGTAAAAAAAAAAAAAAGAGAAGAATGGTTTAAAGTTGCTGATACAATGGATGGATCATCTACTCAACCTTCTGCCCTGGAAAGTTCAGAGCACTGACACTGACTAACTTAATTTAGCCATGCAGAAGTACAGAGTGCTCATGGTGAGGACATAAGAAAAGCTCTGTTGTGTTTATCAGGCATCCAGAGGGAGACCCACCTCTGACAATAAGACCTCTCCTTTCTTTTCCTCCCTGAAAAAAAGTCTCAGCCACCTTGAATCCATTTGACTGACACCATGACAAAGAGGCTTCTTAATGTCCTGACGAAGGCGCCTCCTCCCCTTTCTCTCTAAACTTCCTTACCGGGCGATCAGCTGTATCCATCATACCCTTCTTCCCGACCCCAGGCAGCAGTGCTGCATCAACGCCACACCACCCCCGAATCCCCCCCCGCCCCCCGCCTCACAGTCTTGCCGCATCACCCCCAGCGTTCTGATTAATAAGCACCAGGTTGCCCCTGGTGACAGCACCAACACTTAAATCCTATCAGTCCTTACTACTGCAAGGGCCACGGCATCAGCAGGACTCTTTTTGTCTTAATGGGACAAAGAAATCAGGGAGAGCCTTTGTTATGGGCTTGACCCCACACACAAACCTCGCTGATGGGAAAAAAGTGACAGTAAACCTATTCAGCAGCAGTGCCACTTCATCCTGTACTGATCCTCGCCGGCTGAGAGGTGGTTACTTCACCACGTGACGCATTTGGCAGGGACTTCCAGACAATACGACTCAATACATCACAGACGGATGGTGCGTATGGAGGCAAATATTTAAAAAACGAGCAGGTGTAATGGACAATGAAACAGCAATGATCTATGAAACAGTTCTATTTTCTCAAACTGTATGTCTGCAACACGGGCGTGCCACGTCGTGAGTTAGCAGCATGCGCATCTTGTAAATACGCAACAATCACAGAGCACTCATTATGGTTTCACTAAGATATATTCAAAGCTAAAAGTTTGTTTTTTCAATTTTCATCAAAAAGATTAAATCAAAAAACAATTATTCACATAAAGGGATCTCTGTTTTAAACCCAGTTCCTCAGAGTGCTCTAACCTGAATTTGCCAATGTTCATTTTCAGAGACTGAAAGGGAAGAACACACACACAGATGCACAAAAACACACATGCACGCGCGTGCGCACACGTACACACACTCACGCCCACACATTCAGGCACACAGATTGAACTCCCCTGCCACAAAGGAACGCTGAGTCCTCACAGCTGAGGGCTGGGTCTTGGTCACCGTAGCCTTGGACAAGCTGTGACAGTGTATGGAAAAGCCTCTCGCTGCAGACAGCACTCTCCCCCACAAGACTCGGCTGGCAACATCAACAACACGGTGACCTTGTGTTTCAAATCAAGCGGGGAGGGACAGTGGGAGAGAGTAAATTGTTGGTTTGGACTGTGTGTGTCTGTGTGTTTGTGCACTTGTGTGTAACAGTGTGACCGAGTATAACAGTAACTGTGGGCAAAGGTGATAATGCTGCCATAGAAATCTGGCTTCAGGCCTGAGTTTTTCCAACTGCTGCACACGCACACACATACATGCTCGTCCTTTTTTTTTTCTTTATCTGAAACAGTGTAAACAATGTAAAAACGTGCAACATTTAACATAGAATGTTCCTTCAACAAGGTATCAGTGACCTCAATAACTTCAGGTTGCAAACAATGAGACTTTTAATGATGTGTTAATGTAATGTCAATAACATTTAAAGTAGATACAACTTAAACGGACATGCTGTTGAAACACAGCAAACAATGAGACTTTTAATGATGTGTTTGACACAAACATAGAGAGAAACTCCTTACATCATCAAGTAAAATATATTTCTCCTCCTGACACAGCTGTGCTAATGTCTTAGCTCAACACAAAATAATCAATAAAACAATAAACACACATCCATTCACCTTCTACTACTGGGTCAAGTAGGGGAGCTGAAGCCCACCCCAGCCCTCATTGGCTGAGGGAGGGTCCACTTAACCTCATCCTGTGTTGTTATACGTGTTATATATGTTACAATTATATATGACACACATAGATAAGTGCCCTCATATCAAACAACTGTCTTATAGAGAAAACCTCAGTTGTATATATATATAAATAGGATTAGTCCCTTATTGACCCCACAATGGTGAAATTACTCTGTTACTCTGGGGCTTGAACCCAGGACCTCCTGCATGTAATGCAGATGTGATAACCACTACAGTATTGAACCACAAAGAAACAGAATGAATCAATTAATATCTGAGTTACTGTCCTGGCACAGACAGTGATGGTCAGGGGACCCGAGTGTGTCATGTCAGGACTTGACAGAGATATATTCAATTATTTAATTCAATTATATATATATATATAATTTTTTATATGTCATTGTAATCTAGATTGGGACTCAGTGTACCGTCACTGTGGGTCACTCAGTTTCTTTGGCACCGTCTGAGCGTCATTCCCAGTTTATTGTCTCTGTGTTCGGGGCAGCTGTAAAAGCAGATACTACTGAAATTATGACAGGTGTGTCTACGGCCGGCCGGACTGAGCAACAACACAGTCAAAGTGGTGTCTAACTACGATTGTTGTTAGAAAAAACCATACCAAAACAAAGGAATGAAACCAAACTTTGCAGCTGCTGTAATGTGATTCAGTCCGTATCACGGCACACACTGTACTCTGTAGAGTACACCTAAGCTGTGAGCAGTCATTTCTGGCTGCAGGTACTGTTCCACTGGGGCTGGCATCTGGCATGGGGGAGAGAGAGGAGACAGCGGTACACTCTGTGAGAACACACTGTTCCGTAACAGCGTTTTGATAGAAGGAATTCTCAGCTTGGTGCTTTCCAGGTTTCAATGGCAAGAATGATGATATATTATAAGTAAGTGCTCTCCACAGAGCCATGCACATACTTTATGACACCTTGAGCGTGCGCCGCTGTAATGGAGCCCTACGAAATCCAAGAGACTGATCTCTGAAAAAGCGGAGGAGAAGGAACACTTCACGCCGCGGTCCTCCTGTGATGTGATGTGACGTGCGATCCAAGGATAGACGCGTGTCAGGGTTATTGACCTCATTTTGTTTGTTACGGCTTCAAATGAAATAGTTCAACTTAAGAGGGACGGAGGAATGAAAGTCCTT